TTACTAAAAAGCTTCTGTACTTCAAAAGAAACCATTAGCAGAACTAAGAGACAATCTACAATGTGGGAAAAAATTTTTACCAGCTGTACCTCAGACAAAGGACTATTATCAAGGATATATAAAGAACTCAAAACAATCAGTCCCCCCAAATATAAAGACCCGATTCAAAAATGGGCATCCGAAATGAACAGACATTTCTCATACAAAGAAGTAAAAGCAGCAAGAAAATATATGAAAAAATGTTCCACATCACTGGTCATTCGAGAGATGCAGATGAAAACAACACTGAGATTCCACCTCACTCCACAAAGAATGGCTGCTATCAAGAAAGCACTTGCTGGTTTGTCTCTCACACTTAAGTAACAAATAGTGATTCTTGAACTGTTTAAAACCATCCATAGCTAGCAGTACATTCATCCTAGCTGCGTCCACCCTTTTCTTTTAACATTACAAAGGATTTGCTCTGGAGCAGCCATCACGGTTGCCAGAAGGATGTGCTTCTGCGTTTGGTCTTCCATTCAGCTCAGTGGAAGTTTCTCTAAATCTACTCTCAGCCCTTCTTGTCACCTTTGGTACAGTAGATCTTTTAACAACTTCTGTCACTTTGCTCCTGTTCTTCAAAATCATAGCTGTTTTGTAATGAGACATGCCTTACTGGAGAGCACTGCCCACCACTGATTGTCTACTTTTGTTGTCCTTCATCGCTTTTAATTTCATTTACAGGCCAATGGCTTCGTGTGGATTCTTACTAGCTACATTAAATTCTGCTCAGTTAGGGTTATGATGAACAAGGCAAGCACAAGAGAACATAATGATTAAAAGATGTGGTAAACATGGGTGATGCTGCTGGAAGGGTAACATGGCATAGCTTTACAGTAAACTTTTCTTTTTATAAGTAAAAGAAGTGCTGTGCTTTATATCCCCCAAAGCCTCATGCCATCATAGGCGGGAATTTTGGGAGGTGTTTGGATCATAGAGGTATGATACTCATCAACAGATTAGTCCACTGATGAGCCAAATGTGATACTGGGGGTGAAGCCTGGTCCAAGGAGGTGGGTCACTTGGGGCATGGCCTGGAAGTGTTTATATCATTCCTTCCTCTTTTGATTTCTGTTTCCCATCACCACGCCATAAGCTGTTTCCACTCTGCCATGCCCCACTGCCATGCTGCCTTGCTTTGCAGCCAACTGGCTACAGACTGAAACCTTTACAGACTTTGAGCCATAATAAACCTTTCCTCCTTTAAATTGTGGGTGTTGGATATGGGTCCCAGCAACAAGAAAGTACCTGAAACAAGGAGCATACTCTAAAATAAGGATTAAAAAGTATAGTATAGGAATACATAAACCAGTAGCACATTCCTTTGTTATTATTATTATGTGCTATACATAATTGTATGTGCTATACTTTTATACACCCGACAGCACAGTAGGTTTGTTTACATAACCATCACCATAAACGTGTGGTTAATGTATTATCCTAGTGTGATGTTACTATGGCTATGATGTCACTAGGCAATAAGAACTTTTCTTCTCTAGTATAATCTTATGTGACCATGTCACATATGTAATCTGTCACTGATCAAAACATTGTCCTGCAGCACATGAATCTACCATAAGTCTGGTACTGTTTTCAGCATTTTGCTCATATAAACTTTCACACAAATGAAGCAAAAGAGGTTAAACAACTTTCCTAATATTAGAAACAGGCCAGATATCAGCAGTAGGTCCCCTGAACACTGGACTCTGCCATATCACCAAGATCCTCAGCATCCACTTGAAAAGCAGATGGCCGTTTTCTCCTCAGAAGCCTGAAGTCATTCCCACAGTCTTTGGGACTGAGAGCATCCACACTTCCTGCTTTGTCCTCAGGGTTCTTCCTGTCTTCTCACATCCCCTCCGTGCATAGTTCTCACCGCGTTCCAGGAGAGCCTACCATACTGAACTCTTCACTTCTGGACTTCCCCAAAATCTCCTGCCTTTGGATGTTGGCTAATACTCTTCCTTCATCCTGGAAGAGTGCTAAAGTGATAGAACACAGATGAGGTCTGTGTCTCTCCAGTTAGTTTTCGGCTGTGGCAGAGTTTGCTAGTTGCCTTCTGAATATCCATTCACTTGTGTCTAGAAATAGCAGAACCATTACTTTTAGAGGGACATAAGATTGATTATCAAAAATCACATGGCTAATTTAGTTAATGACACATATAGGTTGAAATGTTGTATGGGGTTTCTGGAACCTTCTTAGATCGGAAACATCTCCTCTTTCTCTCTCTTCTATTCTGCTGTTGGAATGTGGATATGATATCTGAGGCTATATTGTACAGCGGGGATGAGAACCACACATGATTTATGACAGTGCAGGAAGTCTGAGAAATTCTGGGTTTCCAATGACCATCCCATAGCCAAGTCAGCCCTAAATTACCTGCCTGTACTTAGTTGTTAAGCACAGTTATTTCTAGCTTTAACTGATACATTTGTAATATTCTTTTTCTGGGACTAAAGCTCAGTAGAGAATTATACCTTCCCCTCTTAGTGATAGTGAAAAAAATGCGATAACTTCAAAAGACTAGCATATGCTCTGGAAGGTTAGAATGAGAAGGGGCATTTCGGAATTGAGCATGTTATGAAAGTGAGCACCTGCCCACTTTCCTGAAATCAACTGTCTCAGTTATACTTCCCTGGCCTGCGGATGGCTGAATGCTTCAGTAAGAAGATGCTGGACTGGTTGACTACTGGGATCTCATTTCATAGAGAACAGAAGGCTATTCATATTGATTCTTTTTTTTTTTTTTTTTTTTGGTGGTACCGGGGATCAAATTCGGGACCTTGCACTTGTGAGACAGGTGGCAGAACCACTGAGCTAAATCCCCAACCCCTGTCCATAGCAATTCTTGTCCATACCTATGGATAATTCTGGATGGAGTAAGGATCATTATATATATATATATCACCAGAAGATCCTGACATTTCTCTCTAAAGAATTCTAGCACTCAGAAGTCCATGCACAGTCTTTATCTGTTCTCTCCCCTCCCGTAGGACTAAGAGAGGAACCTAGGACATTTAATCCAAACTGATCACACTGACTCTTTTTTTGTTCAATCACAATCTCCCCTCTCTCCAGGTACTGAGATTGAACCCAAGATGTCCACACTGATCTAACTGCCCACCACTCTCTCTTTTTTTTTAAATTTTTTTGGAGACAGGATCTTATTAAATTGCTCTGTTGCCTAGATTGGGTTCAAACTTGAGACTCTTCTGCCTGCAACTCCCAGAGTTCTGGGATCACAGGTGTGTACCAGTGCACCCAGCTCTTACTCTTTTAAAAGTCTCTAAGAACTTCCAATATTTCACG